ATTACAGTAAAATGTACTGCGATTTATAACCTTTTTTGTTTTTGTTTTTCATCAAAATTTGGTTGACAATTTAACTCATTTCTATCACTCATAAATTTCTTTTGACGCCGATAATGTTTATGTTTGTCGTTTTTTTTTTTTTTTTAATAAATCTTATTTTTTCATAAATATATTATTTAATGGATTCAAAAAAAAAAAAAAAAAGTAAATCATATCTATCATACAAATTAAATATGTATTTGAAACCCATCATAATCAATTAAATAATAATTTATTGTAATTTTTTATGAATATAAATTCGGCATACAGAAGCTTTTTGATGCCCAATTTCTGTTAAGCTTTTTCGAAACCAGTAACCATTGAATTCAATATGATTATGTAAAATAAACTGAGACACGACCAATGAATAATATATTTCAAACAAATGATGCAAAATTAAAGTGATGTAACAATTAATAATAATCTCATTACGTAATAATATTTTTAAAATAAATCTCTAACTCTATATTTTAGTTAACTTTTGATATTTAGACACAGTGCAAAAAATAAAATGAAATTCGTGTGAATATTAGGTTACGGGCCAGTAAAAATCATAAACACTATGATAACCGTGTACAATATACAGTACCTATTGATTATTAATATTTGGTTTATAATTATTTATGTTATAATTCAGAGTGCAATTTAATCTTTTAAATATAATTGTATTAGTTGGTAACTATCGATTAAATGTTCTTATCTTTATAATTGTAAACGAAAAGTATTAACATTTTTATGATAAGAAATAAAGTTCAAAAGTTTAACAAAAGCTTGTAAATGTGGTTGCTTGTAAATATTTTGTCTAGATAAAAGTCTTAACGATAATTCTGGTGAAAGCTACGGATCAATATAAATGTATGTGATTCTTATATAACCATAGACTCTAATTTAGTCTAACAATAAGACCTAATAATTTTATTTCAGATTAACATAACTGTAATATTTGAATCCAATCACTTAGAATTATACTATTATTAGTCAGATTTAAAAAATTAGTTTTTATTATAACTAATAACATCAACGAGTCATAAATTTCTTAATAATAAGAAATAAATATTAAAACTTTTATAAGATCATATGTAACATTTACCATGAGAAGGTTTTATATTTATTATGTTTAATTTTGAAATTTTTAATATTTTTAGACACATATGTTTTTAAATTTTAAATAAATATTAAAATAATTAGTTTTGAAATAAAATAAAATAAATTAAAATTCATCTTGCATTTGTTTATTTTTAATAGTATTACAATTCAAAGTTATTGTAGAAAAGTATATAAATTAATTTTATGTTGTTATCACATTATAATAGATTAGTGCAATAGTTATTAAAATTATATACTTATAACAATGACTACAGTGGAAACACTAATTCCAAATCTAATGAAATGGTTAACTATAAGTAATGTATGCTATGATACCACAGATTTACAACAAAAATGGGTAATATTGTAAGTTATTTTTTACTTTATTTTTATGTAATAGTTCCAATAGTGATATCATTATGATTTTAAGTATTAATAATTGTTTATTCTTTGACATGTATTATATACTGGTAGTATAATACTCTTTTGTATTAACAATATGTAAGTAATGTACTTATTATAAAATAATATGTCATCACTAGGGACGCTCGCAGAAATGTAGCTCAAGGGTGGCAAAAAAATTGTAATACTATCATTAATAATGTTCTAAAAATCTAAACTCATTTAAGTTATAATAAAATTTGTTTTATCCATGCAATATTATATATTATATATTATAAATAATGATGTTTATTAGTTTAAATATTTATAAATAAAAACACAATAAAGTTTAAACAAACAACAATTTAATTTGATAAAATTTACATCATATTTAATTATTTTATTTAAAAATGAATGACAATATCCTTTGTTAGAAGCAAATAAATTGATTGAATCATCAATTTGTTGATTAAAATTTTCTTATCATTATACCTTTGGTGGTGTGTATTTAATTAACCCCAAGCTACTCGGTCTTTTATTTCCCATCCTATTTATAATCCATGTCATTAAACGGCGTAAAGTGCTAAAAAATAAAAATAAAGTTATTGTTAAATATTCATTTATATACTGAATAAAGTGTATAAACATTTTGTAACTGAAATGAAAAATCTCAGGGGGGGTGATAGCTTCCGGGTATCCTTGGACATCACATATTTATTTAAATAAATTATTTCATATCAGATGATAAATATGACTTACGATAGTATTTATTTCTTGTTGATGATGGTGTTCATTATTGTTATCATATTTATTCTTCTAGCGTTTACTTAAATCAATAAACTAAAGCCTTGAATTAATGTAAATATGTCAACTTTTAATTAATGATAATTAAAAAACGGTTGAGAAAGTATTAACATCTTTCTAGCCTCCAAGTCTAATTGGAATCCGGGACAATTTTAATTTCTACAAGTTTGCAAACGTATTAACGATCTTTACATCAAAAACTGGTTATTAACAAATAACATTCTTAAACGCTACAATCGACGTGGCACTTAATCGTAATAGTTTAATCACTATTTGGTACAATGCTATAAATTACAATGAGTAGATTAAATGGTTGAACCACATGGTGTACACAATACGTATAGCCGTTTTACGACAGAGGCGGATTAAAATCAAGATGATGGAGATGAAGGGGATTTTTACAGTTTAAAAGGCACACATTTTAGATAATCCCGGTTTGTACTATAGTTTTATAATATATTTACGTCTAAAACGCTCGGAAATACAATGCTTTTTTTTGTAGAAAATAGAGAAAGATTAAGGATCAACACCGACCGTTCCCCTGGATCGATCTCTATTCGGGGAAGATTTTTTTTAAGATAAAATAAGAGATAAAAAAACAAACTATTCGGTATAACATGTGCACGTTAAAATATTCACCTCGTTCCAGACAGATAACCATACAGGTTTTTGTGCCGCATAGGTATGACGACTGTTGTAGAAACATAAAGTTCTCGAACACGTGTCAATCGCGAGCACTGTGGTGACATGAGCGAACCGTTGAATGGCCTTTGTGACGTGGAAAATGGTATACGAACACTGCAGTAAAATACTCGTCGTCACGTGGGTGATGGTAAGTTTTCACATGGAGCGTAGCAGATAAACGTTTGTATATGTAAGTTCGGACACGGAAATAAATATATTGGTACGTAAGTTCCAACACAGACAAAAGTACAGTAATATGAAAATTCTGTTTCTATTTGGGCTAAGTTTGGTACCGTAAAATTCAAAGCTTAGGTTTAGAATAAGAATTGAATAATGCAAATGATAACCCAGGAATGTGACTGGTACATTTATTTGTTTACTTTTTCAATATTAAATATAAATTTATTAATAAATTTATAAATTTATTGTTTATAATCATTATTATTTTGTTTCTATGTAAAGGTTCATGTTCATTTATAATAAATCAGAAATTGTGTTGGACATAAATAGAAGTATAATATTCAATTAAGATGGAAGTTTGTCATGAATATTCTGAACCGATAAATAATATTTTTAACCTTGATTACCTATTTAAAAAGTGTTCATGGTGTATAAAGTGTAGTTTCTACAATCATATAAGGGTGTGCAAGTACATCGATCAAATATTACAATTGTCTACTAATAGTTTTGTAAGTCTATAAATAATAGTTTATATTGAATTATTTATAATTTTAATAGGGTATTGTAGTTATTAAGTGAAGTTACGTTTTATTGATATTTCATTTAAAAATTTGAGTTTAAAATATATTTAGATAAGAGTATTGAGATTTTAATAGGTTATATAATTTTTTTTAAATTTTTAGTACATATTTTGTTTAACGCAGCATTAAAACTAAGAGTATAATTATGCAGAGGCGACACCGGTATGCATTATAAAAATTTGGTTTCATTAATAATGTATTATTAAATAGCGTATGAACATTCCTACAGTTGAATTTTTACCACAATACTTTTTGTAGATTTTTTTTTTCGTAATATTATCATTTTTACAACAACACTGCACATAAAAATAGCTGTAATATCAATTATTAAGTATACTACCTTAAAGATATTGAAAAAAAAACTGCGAAGAATCATGCACTGTTATGATAATTTCTAGGAGGTAAAGTGATTGCATAATAAAAGGATAATAAAGTTTTTACGGTTTCCTGGCATGCGGTAAAATCCGAGTCCTTGTAAGTTATCACGGTTTTATTTATATATCACCAGAACCGATAAATGACGTGAAGTCCCATGGTTCACACCCCTCATTGATAGTTTCAATAACTTCGAAAGGATAGGGGACGGAAAGGCGATTTTGCGTGATCGGTGACAAACTACTGTCCGTTTTATATCATCACCGTAGTAGTCGTTCGGACATTGTGTATGGAAAGAAGTATGTTTATTATTTGTCGCTAACTGGTTTGACCTAACCATCGTAATGACTTTGTAGAAAGTTATAACATTTTTGTTGCCTGATTATATATTATTGTTATTATACCATACTTGGAATGAAAATATGTTTTTATTTATTTATTTCTTTTTTTTGTATCTATTGTATCTATGGTTATTTAACTATTTTTCTAAGAATTAGAACCCGTATACTATGGTAGATTCGATAACTATTTATTAGCAATCAATAATTGTAATGGAAGTAATAGAAACTAAAATTTTCCCTATTATACCGATCACCAAGAAGTGCTTATTATATAGTCAGCGAACCACTAAGTTCGACTAAATATATATAAAATGTATACATTTATGTGTACTATATAAAGCTGTATTAATGTATTAAACCTGTGTTTATAGTTATCAATCAATATTTGTTAACTAATTTGGTGTTGTGTGTTATTCAATTATAGTCGCTTGATCATTTATTTTACGCGAATGACATAATCGAATGCTTGGTGGAAAACTTTCTAATCGAACCTGACTGCATTTATTATCTCAAAAGGATGTCAGCCCTATGCTTGATGCCACCGACCGTAAATTCCGTAACGGAATGTTCGGAAAATCTACCGACATTAATACGATTCTACGACGTCATGGGTAATTTTAATCGACTGTATATTTTAAAACATATTAAATATTAGTGATGTGAAACGGTATTTTTTAGTATCATATTGACAATATTTTTTAATTGTTGAATACATAATTTCATACGTTAATTTACTTGTTAATTATTTTACTTTTGAACTTTTTATAATCATTTTTTTGTAATTTTTACAGATTCAAAAATAATTAAATATTAAATTATTAAATATGTTATAAAATTTTACATTTTAATACTTCTTGAGCTTATCGTTTTATAATGATATTTGATTAAACTTTTAAACCGATTTACTTATAAAAATTAAATAAATAGAAAATATAGATTTTAACGAATTTATATGAATGCCAATATCGAATATTGTTTTAGTTTTGATAGTTGGTAACGAAAAAATTAGTTCAATATCAATATTATGATGTATCACAATTGAATATATAGATTTGAAGAAAATATTTTTATTTACGTTTTAATATTAAACTGTAAAGTGCGATATGAATACGTATAATTACTATTTACGTCTCATTTAATTAAAAAAAAATAAAAAATAATATTAATTTATTATTAACGTCAATCAATGTTCTTGTATTCCTATGTGTAAAACAATGTAGCCAAATGCATTCGATTGGTCCAGACGCACGACGACGAACTGAATATGCTCCTGTTGGGCGTGATTCAATCGTCCATAGTCCGATGCCAATCGGTACCGGAAAACTCTGTCAGTTTACGCTGCTGCCATGAAGCTATAGAAATGAGTGGTTTACCGAAAACTCTAATGGAGCTCATCGATAATGTCCCGAATCAGACGTTTTTCAGCGATCTGCTAAAACTGTCATTTAACCTCGCAGTTGTATCTGATCGATCGGGTATATATATATAAATATATAATGATATTTTAAAACAGTTCCGAACAGTTTTTCCGGCACACAAAATACATTAATTATAATTATCTGGGATTCTTTTACCATGGCCGTGATACTTTAACTTCACTGAATTCAAATACCGCTTAGATATACCACACCTGCTGTGAGATATAAATAAACAGTGATATTCACTAGGGTTGAATAAAATATAACTGAACTGTGATCCTGTAACTCAGTTGAACTATAGTAGTGGTTATACTGCAATTTACTGTACTAATCTATTATCTATAAATTCTATGTCCAACCATCCGTTACTAATGCTCAATAATTTTTACGCGCTCAGCGCTACAGATGATGCAATCGGACGGTGTTAATGTACTGGTGGCTGCGTTAAAACCAAATTTCCTTTTGTTTTCCTCAAATTCCAACGAACGTTTGACTGTCTGCGAATTTGTGGTTTTGCTGTTGAATCGGATGTTTTCTCTGAAGCGCGTGGCCTCTTCGACTACTCTCGAGCTGCCGCGAATCACTCGCAATACACTTGAGTGGGCTTATACAATTTTGTTCAACTAATCGATGACAATAAGTGGTTATCATTCGATAATATTACTAATGCGTTGTGTTATAGGATTATATTTGATAATATACAAATCGAAACGGAAAAAAACGTTATCAGAAGTATGAAAAAGAGAAATGAGTTTTGCTACTTACTCGCCGAAATCGTAGATAATTGCTCTTTTGAGGAACAAGCATTTTCCAACGAGATGATAAAAGGTACCAATTTTAATTGTAACCGAATAGAAAATAAATTGAATTTTACAAGTTTCGTTTTATAGACATGGTTATGCTTTGCGTTTGGCCAGAAATCATACATATTTCACATTGGTTAGATAACGTAAAATTCGATTCAGTGGATGAAAACATAATATTCAAAAGCATTATGTTAGATATTATAAATAAAGTGTTCATAAGTTTATCGCAAAATCCCGAGGTAATCTCATAAAATATAAAACGTTTAAGGTCACGGAAATGTTTTCTCTATTTTGTTTGTATTTGTACAGTTTCAACTATTGAATACCTTTTTGATCCAAGCATTTATGTCGTTAATAAATTTCGAGTATTCAAAAACAATGTATGGCGACAATGTGTATACGGTTTTAAATCGATTTTTATTAAATTTGCCTTATATACTGTTGAATTCTACAGACTGTTCAGTAAGAAATGATTGCTGCACCGAGTTGAGTATTTTATTTGCTGTTTAATAATGATAATAATATGGTTAAACGTTTTAAACTATAAAAAAACATTTATTTTTTTTTCTGGTCTAGAATAATTGCTTTAATTAAATTATTGCGATCTCAAGAATGTTTTTCACGCACAATGATTGATGTTATAATTTGCATAGGAATTGTTTCAAATGATAATTACGATTTACTTCGAAAGTTTAAGGCTCTTAAGGCAGATATTTTGATTAATGGTTTTGTTACATATAAATTTATATTTATATATCAAGTATACACTTTAGAATGATTATAAACGGCTTCGTTATTTTATATCGTAGCGGTGATATCGGATACACTGAAACGAAAAGACTACGATTGTTTTCAAGATATTAGCTTGTACGGATTAAATGCGTTGAATATATTTTTCCGAGAAAATCAACACAATCCTGAAGCTCAGTTGATGGTTTTTAACACTGTAATACGAATGGTTAAATTGTATTTGGTCGAAATCGACAGCAAAATCAACCAAAAGTACGATTTTTAAGTAGACAATTCATACTCGTTATCATACGAGTTTGTCTTTGTTCAATAAAAAATTAAAAAATTTTTGTAGCCTTATTTTGGATCTGTTACATTTCATTAAAAATGCAATAATTCGATATAGTGATCAAGTAGAGCATTTCATCGGTGCCGGAGGAGTCGAACAATTATTGGACGTTTTACGTGTACAAATAATTTATTTATCATTACTAAACGTGTTTTGGCAGGGCAGTTTTAAGCAATTGGATAGCTGAATTAGTACAAAATCTGGTTTAACGATCCTATTTACTAGTAAAGGAAGTGTGAAGTGGAACTACACTTACCGGTAACCAGGTTGTCGTATTCCGCTATTATTTAAAACTGTGTGAAATTTCTTGGGTTACTGATAATTCCATTGATAAGTATTTATCACATGTAAACCTACAATAGGAAAAAAATACTAAACAGTAAACAAGACCAAACCATTTTGGCGAGTTAGCAACCAAAACCAATCCAAGTTGATATTTTAGCAAACAATACTAGTAGGTAACCTATTTGCTTTAAGCGCCATCGCCAAAACACGCTTGCCGTTATCTCATATATGTATCTAAATCAACTCATAGTTATATCTAAAGCCGTTAATAATACGTTCGCGTTATGGTTTAATAACATTTTATAGTCTGCAAAATATCCAATACAGTTGGTGATACTGACGACACTCGTCGATTTAGCCGTGTACAGATCGGCAAAAAATCGTATTAAAAAATGGAAGTGCGCCAGTACCAACGAGGGCTATCTGGAATTATTATGTGAAATTTGGAGATACGAACAAGTTAGATTCGATTTCATAGGTAAATAATCATTTAAAATATTATTCATATAAACAGACTTGGGTAAAACACTTTTTAAAAGTATTTAGAATAAATACTCGAATACTTAAAAAAAATAGTATTCCGAATACTTTTAAAATACTTTTAGTTTTCATACTATAAAAATAATAGATGTCCACTCAACAGAAATATTTGAAATTGCAGATTAAATATATGTTATTTTATTGTACTTTTGTTTTACACAACTGTTATGGTTTATGGTTTACAATAATAATAAATACCCGATATTATCATATACAAGATTCGACGGAGAAGTAATAAAAATCATTTAAAAAATAGATGATTCGACGGCATCCGAAATACAGTATTCAGAATATTCGTTATTAAGTATTCGAAATACTTTATTGAATACTTTCAAAAAAAAGGTGTTTAATTAAGTATTCGAAATAAAGCATAAAGCATTCCGAACACTAGTATCCGGAATACTACCCAAGTCTGCGTATAAATACAGGTACACGACGTTCACTTTTTAACAGTTGAAAAATATCAACATCTGTTACGACATAAAATATTAAAAAAGCGCTGTACATAAAACACTCGCGGTTTAACCTACGCGTGTAACGCGTGCCGTTGTTGCAGACGACGAGTTCGTGTTCCGCGAGCAACGCGACAAGACCGCGGCGGGAAATCTCGCGGACGACTGCAGCCCGGCGGTGGAGTCGATGTTCATGTGCGCCCAGCCCAAGATCTATCTGCTGCTGCAGTTGGTCGAGTTCCCCGACGACGACGACGACGACCGCGGTTGCGCGCGCGAGGACGACGTAAGGGAGAGCACGATCAGGGCGTGCGGCCTCGTGTCCGCGTTCCGGGACAAGGCCACCGTCGCGCACATCCATCACTATTATTCGCTGAAGCTGGGCGAGGTGTGGCACGAGAACGGTTTGCTGCCCGACCCGGTGTCGGCCGTCGAGTCGCAGTCGATCGACGCGATGACCGTGCGACACGCGTACCTGATGGCGTTGATCCGAATGATCAAACGCGAGGTGACCAACGTTCACGTGGACGACTCGGTAAGTCGGTTCGCGGGAAGGGAAACGCGCGCGACCCGCCGTGTACGCGGTCGACGTTTGCGATCGGCCGTCGGCCGCGGGAACCACTTACCGTTCGACCAGCGTTAAAACGTAATAAACGTTGCGAGTCGATTACGCACCGCTTGATCCGTTTCGGACGCGATCAAATAACGCAATAATGTTGTCTGAACAATTACGGATGACTACATTTTGAATTTCATATCCACCGGACAGTGTTTTTTTTTTTTAATTCGTAGACGAAACTTATTACAACGGTTGCTTGAAAAACAAATCGCATTGATTCGTAAACATTACGATTATCTATAAACCTATTCAAAATCCGAAACGTAACAAACTTTGGATTTGGGTTTGAATTTTTTTACCGGTTACAGTCGACTTCCGTGAAAAAATATTCTAATATTTCTATGATATCACGTTCCGACGATCACCGGTGCGATAAACAATGCTAACGGACATGCAAAATACATCATCCCAGTTTTGACCGTGACACTGAACACACCGTGTTCCACTTACATTTCCGGGCGCTTAACATTATTTAAATCTGACACAAGATAACTAATCGTAAAATATAAATCTTGATTATTGAAAATGGAAATTATTAATTGTATAAAATGTAATAAATAAATGTGTTAATGTACACATATTTATAGATATTACGTGGAATCATTATATTTAAGTATACTATTTACGGAAATAGTGAACTTAAAAAAAATCAATCTCGTTTGAAACAGGTTTATAATGATTGTGAATGAGTAAAAGTAAATATAAATAACAGTATGCATCTGAATATCTGTGACATCACGGTATGATGTAACGTATGTAATTTCGCGATTAGCGATATCATTACATTTTATTATCAGAACCATCGGAATAAATCTAAAAGAGCGAAATAACATTGTAGGTTCCTGTTTAATTAAATGTATATCCAGTTTAAAAATTCTGTAAATCGTATTAGTATAGTTTTGTTTTTTTTTTCGCAAAACGCCGTATAAACTATTTTTATCACAACATATAATATTTTAATGTAGCGTTATGTTTGAATTTATGATAATTTTGTTTCAGGAAATCAAGATGGAAAACAAACTGTACGAAGAAATAAGACGTTATCATTCAAACGGGTTAAATAAATGATATTCAAAATTAAATACACAATAACATGTATTGTATAAAATATTTTAGTCTAACGGTTAATGTTTCGAGACGTAATATTTGACAATATATATAAATAATATTGTATTATTTGATTGATTTTTTTTTACTGAATAGTATAAATAAATATTAATTTAGTATCGTGTAATTTAATTAACTTGTTTATCGAATCCTATATATTCACTAATCGTCAAATATATACTATTTTTTGTTTAATATAACAATAATAATAATTTAAATATAGTTAAACTAAGTTTTTGTTGAGGAATATATAGTGTTTTAGATATAGTTTTTGTTAAATAAATATACTATATTTTATATTCGTGGTGAATTGATGACTGAAATCATTGAAAAATCATTAAAGCTTTCAAGTGGATTGAACTTCATAAATTTTCGTGATTATTCGTTTTATGAGAGTATTTTGGAAATAAATAAATTGTATTCGTATAAAAATATCACATTATTTGAATTTATATCAGTCAGCAGCAGCCCCTATTTTTCATAACAATCCCAGTGCATCCGAATTGCATGCCAAAAAAATAAACATAAATCGGAATGTCCAAATTGCATGTCATGTTTTAAGAAGAGTCCATGCGAATTGCATGACATGTACCCCCAAGTTTGTTTATCATGCACTTATGTATACAACTTACATTTTATTTTCGACTTTTCTAATTTTTTTTTAAAAAAATAGAAATTGATCATTAGAAACTGATTAGTTTCTAGATTGTTACATTTTTATATCCGTTTAAACATTTCATCAAATTGGAAAAGATCATAATGTGAATATTAAACATTAAATAAAACGATTGTAGTTTAGAGTAATCAAGTGAATGTATTTTACATTTTTACATGGCATTTAAAAATGTAAAATTTTTACTCGGATATAACAAATATTTCAATCTAGAAACTAATCAGTAGGAATAACCATATCATAAGTTAAAATAAATTTTAAGTTGTGCGTATAGGTGTATGATAAATAAACTTGTACCTACACGGCATACCCCTCTAAGACATCCGATTCGGATGCAGCCAAAAATTCATACTAAACATTTTTTAATGTACAATTATATGATGCAGAGCCCCCTCTAACCCCTTCCATATGATTATAATTTTTAGTACAATGTCAGTAATAATTTTTAGTAATAGTTCTTTTTTATTAATCAAATTGCACAACTATAATCTGTTATTATTTTTTAAACTGAAAATATACTTTTGTCTAGTATAAAACTGAAAACTATAATCTTTACAATTTATTTATTTTAATGCGGGATGTATAATTTAAAATGTAATAGATATGTTTTAGTCCTCATCAGCTATCTTGCTTAAACTGACTCCCAGAAAAATACCTTCATAGTAGTCTTAGTTATTAGTATTTAGTACACACTTCTCTAATCCGCAATGCATCACTTCCAGTTTCGGACTACACGCTTTGTGTCGGGGTTCGCTAAAAAATAGGTGCTGCTAGTCAGGTATGAATTAAGATTAGGTGTTATTAAATTGTTGTTTTAGCGACAATACTATTTGTATTTAATACAAGCTGGTGCTAAATAATGTTAAATTTAGAAGATATCTTGTAACGGAGTAACCGTCACTACACAAAACGGTCCTTTTCAGGACCACCAATCACAGCCAAGCATAGTAATCACAACCGGGTAGAATAAATTTGAGCCCTCATTACAGAGTCCAAAACTATTCTACACTTCGAACAACAAGGACTTCATGTAGGAGAGACTGAGACGCTTCGAACAATACCATCCCCACATCCATAGCCCCAAAACTGTGCGAGTAATATTACTTCCCGTACCAAACGTAAGCACAAAACAGTAACGGCGGCAACGCTAGAGTTTACTAGTTGGTACGGGAACTAGTAGATATACCGGACGTTTTACACCGCTGAAATACAGTCTTCAGTATCTCAATATCAGGACTTCAACAACTACTACGGAACGAAGAAACGGAGACCCGAAAACATTACCAGTAAAGCATTCCAGCCGAAACCTCAGGCGATGCATTGATACCCCGACGAAGACACTCGTTGTACGAGGCGGCAACGACGAGCGCGCAGCGTTCTTGTTTACCGTTACGAACGAAACCATCGACACAGCGGCGAAGACGCTCGTTGTACGAGGCGGCAACCAATAGGCATACCGTTCCTGACTACTCTGCGAACGAAGTTGTCTACTTAACGGCGAAAATAGTCGCTACGTAGGACGATATCTGGTGTCGGCGAACACACGCACACACCATCAGCGCATGATCGATCTACCATCGCGATCAATCAAAACGGTTGTTTCAGAACCACCAATCTGAGACGACCTCCCACCCTCAGTGTGCCTGCTCAGACATCACTTTGAGGCAATATCAAATCGAACACGACTTCTATAAGACCGCGGGAGAGCGGTTCTGACTCATCCCTTTATTATTGTACAACTATTATCAATATTAAGCCAATAAGTCCCAACATTTGTATATTCAGTCACACCTCTACAGGCCCCGATATCTTCAGTCGCGGCTCGTTTCTGCAAGTCAACCGCACGGCCAGGAAACTAACTCCTTTATATTAAATTGTAAATAATCTACATCATACAATAAATAGACCAAATTGTACGTCCCAATACCATTACGTGTATAAAATTATTTACGATTACGGTAGACGGTCCGTATCAATCTGACACAAGAAACAGATATTATTCTAAAATACTGAAATGTAAATATTTTGAATCTATTAATCAGTACTGGACTATATATTGAATTGGAATGTTTCTAGAGGTGGTGTTGAGTAAAAGGTAATTTTTTAGGATGAACACTGATGTATTAAAAACAATTTTTTTTTTATTTTATTCAATAACTTTTTAACTAGTTATTAGTAAAACAAAAATATAATAAAAACAAGAAATTAATAATTGTCTACGAGTTTTAAAATATGGTATACATTGTATAAAAATATGACATCATTATTCAGTTGAGATGGAATCAAATGAATATTCTATTTCTTGTAGTCCAAACTGTGTCCGTGACCGTATGAAGATACACTTCCGTGTCCAAGTGATCCGCTGTAGATGCTACCAGAGCTGTAACCGATGGCTGGAGATACGTAACCAGAGCTGTAACCGGAGCCGTAACCAGAACCGTAACCGATGGCGGATGAAGCAAGTCCAGAACTGTAGGCAGAACCGTAACCGTAACCAGAACCGTAACCGATTGCAGAAGTTGCAAGTCCAGAACTGTAACCGGAAGCGATAAGTGGTGCTGCAGGAGCTGCGATGGCGATAGCTGGTTGAGGTGCTGGTACGACAACCGGGGTAGCTACCGGAACGGGGACACTTTTCACTACAGGGACTGCGTATGGTCTGGACACTGGCACTGGCACGTCACGGACAACCGGGACCGGGTAAGGTGAGGCAACTGGATGAGGAACTGGTCTGTCGACCGCATACGGTACTGGTCTTTCGACTGGAACCGGGTACGGGGCGGGTACATTGACGCGGTACGGCTGATCGACTGGGTACGGAACTGGGTGCGGTACGGGAACGGCTACGTTGTTTTGCACTGGCACTGGGTACGGGGCGGACACCGGTTGAGCGTGACGGTTGATGATGTGCACGTCCCTGGAGATTGGTACAATGGGTCCGGTTGTTGGGGCGGGTGCGGCAACGGCGGCGGCGGCGACGCCTTGGTAACCTGAACCGTATCCGAGACCGCTGGAGTATCCCAATCCAGACGATAGACCCAAACCGGATGACACTCCTAGACCGGAGCCGTATCTGAGACCGGAGCCGTAGCTCAGACCGGAGCTGTAGCCCAGACCGGAGCCGTAGCCCAGACCGGAGCCGTAACCCAGACCGGAGCCGTAGCCCAGACCGGAACCGTAGCCCAGACCGGAACCGTAGCCCAGACCGGACGACAGTCCTAATCCGGAGTCTAATGCTGGCAGACTTCTCTTTTCGTGCTTGGTCGTCTTCTTGTCATTGCTGGACGCGTCGGCTGCGACAAGGGCAACGGTGGCCAAGGCGACGAGAGCTGATGTCTGTAAACAGAGAATGAAACGCAATCGTTAGGACGAGAACCGTTTGTGAAAAAACGTCGAGTGATTTCGAACACGAAACCACCAGCGAACGTGAGTATGGATCGTTATACTTACGAATTTCATGGTGAACGTTGGTTATCGGAAGCGAATCGGTCGAATGATGATTATTCTGCACAGCGGATCCGCTATATATACGATTGCGAACGTGTATGATCGGTGCCCCCCCGACATTTGTTCGCGGGTGGTGAAAATTACGAGAATCCAGTCCGTGTCTGCGACGACCGCGCGCGAACCGGTACCGGTTGATTGTGTCACACCGTTGCTCGTCGCAAACGACAAAATCTGGAATACTGTTACGTTCTTGTTATCCTCGAATCACGTAATTTTCCCGTATCGTTTTATTTATTTTATTTTTTTTTAATTTTTTTTTTTACGTACTTATTCCAATGATTCGGATGGTTATTCAAAGCGCAATATTCGAAAGTCTAAGGTGTATTCTCCGTTTAGTTCGCAACAAAGTTGTTCAGTTTTTTTTTTTTCTGCAGATGATGCAAACCGGTGACCGAGTTGAATTCTCCATGTTTCGGTACGTTTTGTTTTTATGGACGAATATTTATTTACAGTAACTAATGTTATAGTATTTTAGTAAAATCTATTATTCTGATAAATTTGAACATTTCAAGCAAATTTTACAGAAAACATCAAATGTTTATCGTTTACTAAAATGTCCCAAATAAAAATATTGGTATAAATATACATATATATATATATATATATATATATATAATTATATATAAAATTAATATAAATGGGTATTATATTTTTCGTTTCCATTTTAGTTTTATCAAGTTTCTACTTCATTGTTTTGTTATAAAGTGTTCCAAGCTATAAGTATAGCAAATTAAGTATTACTTTGATGGTTATGCACTGTTGTACATGATATAAATTTTTTAGTAACAACAAGTTGCCGTTAAAAAATATATCTTTATTTTAATTATATTTTATATACATATACATAATCATTATCGGGATAGTTGAGTTACATTGTATATTTTATTTTGCTTAAATTATTTTACTAAAAAATATAATTTCTAAGTATTGTTCAATAATGATATAAATTCAAAAGTAATTGAAATAGTGTACAAAACGTTTATAATTATAAAATTTCTAAAATTTCAAATTAAATTTAAAAAAAAATGGTGAATATAGTTTAGTATATTTATATACTATCTATAATAATAATATATTATAGTATTTAGTCATGTTTATAGTTTAGATCGCGTATCTATATACTGTTCACTTGTCAAATGATATAAAATGTATTCACTTTAAGCGATACAATAGGGATTGTTTGACCATAGATACAAGATTTTTCATTTTCAAAAATATAATATTTAAGTAAACATTATTCGTAGTAAGAACTTCATAAATATTTGATCCTTGATGATATTTTAGTTCTCAGATGATTCAAATTTACTATCTGCATTGTCTGCGAATATCACTGCGTATATTAATATTATTACACATTAATTAGTCGAACGTGTATAAGTGCTACATATAATATAGGTATGACTTGTCATATGCGTACATATATAATTTTTATGTACATCGAATTATTATTGAATAAACTTCTTAAGGTTCAAAACTACTTAAAGCATACTCGATAGATTTTAATAAGTAAATCGGGTTGCTTTTTTCGAGGGAGAGAAACACCTGGTACCCGAAATTGATTTATCAGTACTGACATGATGACTTATTAGTATAAAGAGTATTAAAAATATAGTATAATTAATAATTTAATATATTTAATATCATCTTACGGACCAGATGATGCAATTTGACCATTAGATAATATATATATATATATATGAAATTGGAACAATTTTGAACAATAGTAGTTGCAAGTTCTTATAAAGATAACTTGTATCTTCATTTAATAGACGTTTTATAAAATATGGATTTAGAGACTTTTTTTTTGTTTCAATTAATTTATTTTGGATTTGATTTATGAAACATGTTAGTGTAAGAAGAAGAATGTATAATCTTCGACTGAAACACTTTCACTTTTTAAGATGTAAAAAGTCGTTAATCTTTGTTAATAATGATTCTGATGAATACTGACTTATATAAAATTGTATATCTTATAAATTGTTAATTATTCTCAAGTTTCCACTGTTATTAGCATTTTTGAGTAAACTACTGCCCAGTAAATTTCCAAATTTTAACAATCAAGAAATAATTTAAAGTTTGTAAGATTAATTAATACAACGAAGGAAAAAATAATGAATAAATATAAAACACGAAGTTCGAGATGTGTAGGACTTGCTGTATTACAGAAATATAATTAAATTTGTCAAGCATGGTAAATTTACTGTAAGAGTTAAATTATTTACGGTTATCTTAGTTTTGAAAAATATGTTTGAAAGTAAATGTAAATTATTACACTATTATTACAAATAAAGATTGTTTTAAAAGTTCTTTTATTTGAAAATAAGGAATATTTTTTTAATTTTTTTATTTGTAATATCCTCAGTATGATATTTCACACGTATAATTTACTTCTAACAGTATATTAATTACAAAATATGCATGAAGAATATGTATGCATAGAGTCAAGGAAATACATTTAAAATAAGAGTTTTTTTTTATTAAAACACTTTGTAAGAACTACAAGAAAAAAAAACAATTTTGTGAAATACTTGTAAAACAAATCTCTAATTCCTATAAAGTGATAACGAATAAATAAATGCTAAGCAAAGTTAATATATCAATTATTTATTTATTTTTTAAATTAAATATTCTTTTGATATTTTATTTATTTGCTTGGTTATGATTTTATAGTAAGTTTAAGTATAATAACACTAATTGATATGTAAAACATATAAATATAAATACTGAATTAAGTTATTATATTATAGAAATACAAAACCAATTATACAAAGTAATAATTTAAAGGGTTGAATAGATAACTAAAAAATCTTGTTAAGGAAAAAACATAAATAAGATACTTAAGTATACTTTATTCAGAGTTTATTTATGATCAAAATCATAACTGTGCTTTAAATTACGAGTAGAATAAAAGTTTAATTTTTTTTTTCAGTCATTTTTACGTGTAATCAGCCAAAGATATTTTGATATAATTCATATCTCATTGTAGTTTCTTTAATTTTGTTAAATATACATATAATAATATTGTGTATCCATAAATCAAAATGATAAAGTAAAATAATATTTTTAATTTAACTTCTTTTACCATTTATTTTCTACTTATAAAGAATAATAATTTTGCATTTGTCTCGACAGTCTGTTATTGGTTTGTTTATCCAAGTATTGGGCTTAGAGTAAAAGTGTCCATTATTTAACAAGCAATTACTGGATAAATTATAGAATCGCAGTGCGGTTAGTAGGGCGTTGTAACTCGGACAAATGGTGGATAAGACGTTATCGAGAGGGTTGGTAAGATTATATTTTAAGTGGTGGATTTAGGAAAAAAAATTATATTACGAGGAGTGTGTGTACAAAATAAGTTTTTCTCCGTTTGAATGACATCGTTGGAAAATCGTTCTCAACTATATATACCTACTCGTATATATAAAATAATACGGTGTTCGTATAATCTCGTTTTTTCCATCGATCACGCGCACAATTAACTAATGGACTCTTACCGTTCCTACGCCAACGTGGTTATTGCTTTCGAATGTTCTTACGTATAAAATCTAGTAGAGATAGTCCGTTATGGCTTGTTTGGAAATGTCTGATGATTAGTTGCCGATATCATACGAAACTTGTGTTATGTTCCGAAGCCGCCGATTTTATCCAAACTCGATTAACCAGTGTATGAAAAGAAAGAATCGAATAATCCGTTTTTTATGTTAACTGGTATTGATTGTCATGTGATTCATAACAAAACGTATATGGGTGTTTTTTTCCATCTAGCATGATAGCCGGTTATTTAAATTCCATTATTTTAATGTTGTAATTATTACAAGATTAAAATAATAAAATAGTCTTAGATCGTTATAGGTTGGATATTTTTTAATTTTTACGCATGTTACAAAGCGATCAAAGCGCTCAGACTTGGATGGAATTTTTATCATAATTACTCCAATAATGTCGAATAGTTATGGGATATATAGTTATAGTTCCTTACATTTATATGTAAGGAATTTGTGTGCAATTAAAAAAAAATATATACGAGTATAATCATACATTTTCAATAAACCATTTGAATACGGAAATATTATTAATAAAATATGCTGTGAAAAATAGTTTAAAAGTAATATTAACTTCTATAATTATTTAATTACTATTCTAAGTATACAAATATATTAAATTTAAATTAATCTGTTAAGTAAATTACAGTGAAACTAATCTACTTTGTTACAATTTTGAATTAAGAAACTCTTATTTACACATTTTAAAATAATTATTATAGAAATGTGTAAATCGATAAATAGATTAATTACAGAAATTAGTGAATATTATTATTTGCCTAGTATAATGATCAATTTTTTTTTTTTATAAATAATAGTACATTTTGTTATTTTTATATATATATATAATATAAAGAAATTTAATTTGAAACGATGAAAAATAATAATTAAAATACTTGGACTGAAAATAAAATAAAACCTGAAAAATATTCGAAAACTTTTATATAAACTTATAATTTTATAAATCTTATTACATTTGCAATATACCTAATACATCAATAATAGAATAATACCTATTTGGTGGTAAAGAATGTAAGAACTGTTTATAAATTTTGGAGATAATTAGTATTTGAGTTATTACGCATTTCCTATGATCAGTTCAATCGGGAAATCACGTGGTGTGTTATCAACGTATTTAGTTCATAATTTCACAATGATAGGTAATGAAATATATTGTTAAAATCGTAAATAGTATTTACTAAATACATTCTTTGATCCGTTCAACGTATGGATTAAGAATACCGTATAAATTTCCCATATAGATCATATATCAGATTTAATCACAGCTACAAAGGATATTGTGTTACGGTTTATTATTAGTCGATGCTCACTTGTCCGCATTATTTGTAATCAATATTATCACCAAATCGGTATTTAAAATATCCGTCTACTTAGTTACAGCATGCCACGTCGCCGGGAACAGGATTCATTGGTAAAACATATAACATACTGCGAGATTTAACAGGTAATCAATAATGTACAACTTGCATTTTTCGCTTTTCTGAATTCGAGACTTGCGTGCTCGTCGCATTCAAAGGCGTAGAAAATTTGTCGTTATTATATATATTTAACGTTATAAGTAAAAATCCTTTTATAATATATCGATCACGATAACAGCAGAAAACGATGAACATGTGTACCGCGTATTGCAATGTCACGGTTAATCGTCATGAGGGGTTGTTCAACGAAGAAGAAAATGCTTATATTTATGATACTGAAGTGTGAAAGCATCGAAGTTTCATAGAAATGTCAGTAAAACATTAGTAACGGCTTACTATGATTTCATATTTTTTTTGTTAAATATTTTTTTAATTTTGTCTTTCATTTATCTTTTTTGTTTAAATTAGAATGGAGTTTTTAGAGTGTAGATTTTAAAAGAAATTTTTCGCTGTTTCTACATTGTTAAAAGATATAAAACCATAATTATAACCAGTTAACTTGTAGAGCTGTACATTTATGTCATGATTATTAAATATTGTTATTGTTGTCTATCAATTTATAATAAATCAATTTTTAAAGTATGATTTTTCTTGTTTCAAATAGTTAATTTGTAGACACGAATATAATTTTTTATAAATTATGTTATAGCTTATGTTATTTTAACTATAGTAAAAATATTTATGGTATTTATTTGGTTTAGCCGATGTTTCATACGTGAAGTTGCATTTTGAATTGTGTCAACTGAAAGAAGAAAAACTGTGTGGTAACGGTGAAGTTTTATATCATAAACAATAACAAAAGCTAAAAAAATATATTTTCTTCATGCTTTGCAGCCAACGCAAAATGTTACCATCTGTGCTATATAATACCGATTTACGTCTTGTGGTTGGGTTATGATTTTCTTAAGATTTATTAGTTTATTATCCCTATTTCATCCCTATTTTCTATAAAAATAAAATCCTTGACACGAAACGCATATTTATGCACAAAATATTATGCCTACACGAAATTTATTGTGACATTTTCCGCAACATACTTCCTTTACACCAAACGTGCTCGATGGAACTTACTTTGTTTAATATTTTTTTAATTGAAGTCTTTTAAAACTAATAATTATAACCGCATTGCAGTTACATACTACATTCTTTGTTGAAATTAAGCAAACTAATGATTGTAAAAGCCAGCACGTCAGTTTGGGATGAAAAAGTTTCACATAATTTTTTATAATTTATTCAGGAAATTAAAATTAAGATTGAAAGGACATAACTTTCATAAAAATGTCATTTTTTTTTTCTATTCCTACCTCACTTAATAAAATATTAGGTATCTATTAAACTTTTAATTTAATAAAAATGTTGGAAAATTCAAAATTATTAATTTTTCCCTCTCAAACCATCGAATAGTTAATTGTCACCTAATACTACTATTAAAGTACAACAATTGACTTGTGATGATCTATTTAATGACAGAATGATAATTACATGATTTCTTGTTACTTTTAACCTCTCTTGCTGTTATGGTAGGCGAGACCCCGATAAAATTATAATATTTGCTTTATTTAAATGAATAATATAAGTAAGGTTATTTCAATACTATTAATAATAAAAAAATAACTATAATTTTTAAAATAAAATGATATGAGTTTAGAATGTCGTGCCCAAATTAACTATGATTGATTAAAAACCATCTGATCAAATCTATGTAAGTACACTATAACAGCATATTCTTGATATTCAAATAAATTTTATAATAATACATTCGAAACAAATTTCAAATTTGATTATAATAAGAAAAAATCTTAAATTGAAATGCTGTGATTATTTTTTTTACAGCCACTTCCGAGTGTAAGTTATTTTAGCAAACCGGGACACTGATACATTTCCTGCAGAATCAACTCAACGATATTATATTAAATATTTAAATGTATAGGTTTTATTTTTCCTCATAAAACGCCACTGTAGTTATTCGACGTCATAACCGCAGCAAATTAATCAAGAACTGCACAGATGGTGAGTCTGGGTATGTGGTTTGATGGTAGATTGATGTTTATAAATATTATCGTATAAGGCGAAATATATAAAAAATGGTTGAAAAACAAAAAGTTTTCACTAAATATGTTTTCAATTCCTATACATATATTTGTAATATCACGTTAAATGTAAAAATAATAAAACTAATATATTATATGATATGAAAGTTTGAGGTAGTGTTTATAGTGTTTTTAATCTTGTTTTCCGAAGTGAATTGGGTTAAAAAGAGATTTTATTTTGGTATAAAATATACTCATACCTTTTCAGAGACTTATAAGTATTTATTGTTTAAATGTTATTTCCGCTAACAACAAGAAGAAAAACATTGAATCCGTAATCGTGCCAGATATGTAGTGAAAATCTTCTGAAATTTTGGAAACCATAACAGAATCATCAGGGTTACGTAAAAGTATTGTGAGGTTATAAATCATTAAACCATAATTTAGTGTACTAGGGTGTCTAATTTTTAGTAAAATTTATTTTTTTTTGTATTCAAATGAAAAACATTTTTCTAAATGCAAATGCTTCCTAATTTCAGTAAATGTTGCTTGACGAAATACATAATATAAACTCAAGCAAAAGACTTGTTGAAGATAGGATACAAGAAAATCGTTAAATTTTCTTTCGAGTGGAAAATATTATCGTTACGTTTTATCGTTTTAAAACGGTGTCTGTATGAAGTGTATCGATGTTTCTTTAAAATTAACGAAGGGATATATTTCCTTTGTTCCAAAACACCATATGATGCCTTCGTCACATGAGTCATATCTCCTGATAAAAATATTATTGTTACTCTTCAAATTATATATCGCTTCTCCGGTGGAACAACGGCGTAAGTGAAAATGTAATTGTTCTTCAGAAAACGTTTTTTCCATTGGACATGTGATTAAAAACCGGTATTTTCAACAATGACGAAACTGTTCTCTAGCGGTCAATAATAGGTATTATACTTATGTCATTGTTCCATTCGATAAAATGAAATGTTATTGTACTGTTGTCGTACTTATGTCTAAAAGTCAAAAATTTGCACTTATGTCGTTGTTCCACCGGAGAAGCGATATGTATAATATTACAATACTTATGTACATATTATAATATTGGTACTTATGTTTGAGTATAAGATAAGTAAATAAATAAAAAATATCTTGAGTTCTTTATGTGGTATTATTTTATAAATAGCAAAATATAATTTACGTTATGTAAACGTATGTACTTTATGTACTTTACTTTATGTATATTTAATTTAAATACATAAAATAATTATGATTAAAATATGTAGGTTATTTGGTTATTAGGAAATAACAAAAATTATTATACTTGATATAGTTATCTTTGTTACAAAATGTACGGTTTATTTTAATTTACTTTGTTAAATTTTAAAGGTTAACAGTGCAATTTTTCATACATTTCTGATCAATATATCAATTATTATTTAAAAATATTTATATAGTGTGTTGTAATACAAAAAAGTTTTTTACCATTTTTATTTTTACTTTAAACTTTAAAAATGTTATAATGCTGTTAATTTATGGAATATCTGTACACAGTGGTGCCGAAACAATGTAGGTACTTTTAAATTTTGGTGGGAATTTTGTCTTCTAACTATATGAACTAATAACTATGAAATTTATTTGCAACTAGTTTTAGAACTTGCAACTCGGTACTTAAGTCATATTCGAAATTTTTACGGATGAAATGAAGTTCTAGTTAGCCAGAATGTATAAAATTAAACCATTGTTTTAATTTTTAATTTATATAAATATTTATATACAGGTAGTTAATGATAGTAAATTAACACTATCGATTATATTTATTAGGTCTATTAGCGTGGTCCGGTGATAAGCTCTGTTAAATGTCATTTGGTTATTGAATTCTGTAAAATATATTATTTTTATTTGCACGTTGGAACGCATCGTTTTAAACTTTTTCTAATAATTTAAGAAAATTATTTTTAATAATTATTAAAATTGATAAGCTGATCTTGAATTTAGAAGTTACGATTTTCATCTAAATTTATTATTTTGATTGAAATACAAACATAATTTAGCCTTAAAATAATAAAATTATATATATAAATTAAACCTCTAAGAGGCTAACTTTGCTACCTAATTTAGGGTAAAATGAATACGTAAAAAACTTAAGTAATAACTTAATTATTTAAAGCCTAAATGTTGTGTGTATGTTAAATAATAAATTTAAAAGAAAACCGTAACTTCAAAACTCAACATCAGCTCGTGCAGTTTAATTATTTTTAAAAATAATTTTTCTAAATAATTGTAAAAGTTTTAAAATGACGTGTTCCGACATAACAAAACATAAATTATATACTTACAGAGTTCATTAACCGAATGACATTAAACAGGATAATAGACCCAATAAATATAATCGATATTATTATATTCACAAGTATTCAAGTACCTGTGCATAAATATTTATATAAATCAAAACGATGGTTTAATTATAAGCATTTTGGATAGCTAGAATTTGTATTGCTCCCATTGTGCATCGGGCGGACAATTTGCTAAGACCTGACGGCCTGACGAAGGAGGCAAGACATTTAGTTGGTGGCATCGTGAATTTGACGTTCACGATCCTTTCGATCACGAGGTTATCGGTCTCCGTGGTCCTACTTGGCTTCGTCTTCCGGTTAGCGTAAGGGTTGGCCATTTTTCCCGAGCCCTTTTCCGGTGCATTTTCACTTGATATTACGTATCCATCGTCCACGTTTTCTTCGCCCTAGAGTTAGGCAGGTGTTTTCGTCGCCCGACACTTATTGGGCACTTACTGGTTGCCCGGAAACCATGTCGGTGGAATTCATCATCTTCTCGTTTCTGGAACACTGGAAGTCTGCGAAAATTTAAAATAGATACCCGTTCGTCCGCACGCGAGTTGCTAGTACCAGGGTTCACCATCAAACGTTTAAAAAACCGTAGCCGATTCCATTTTGTCAGAGTTGGATAAACATTTTTTTGTCGAAAACGAAATCTCCGGTGGACAACCGACAGTCGTATAAAAAGGTTAAATTTATGTCGTTCTAGCAATATGTTTAATTATTGTTGTGATGATGACGACACTTATTACAATTTATATATACTACTATTGATACTAGGTAGTGCTTTCATAAATTATACCTGAGAGCACAATGGCCATATAAAATTCGATTTCGAAAGTCCGTCCCGATGGTAATTTACTCACGGACGAGCTTCAATTTGTTAATTTAACGTAGGAAATGTTCGTCATTAAATCGCTGGCTCGATAGTGTATTTTTTGCATAGAATAGCTAATCGAATTTAAAAAACTCATTAGTAGACTCGACGGCAAAAATTGAATCGTGTAAGCGGTCGTTTTCGTTCTGACGGTATTCATATTCCGACAG